GTGCCACTCCCATGAGGCCCAATGCCAGGCCCCTCTCTTTCCTTGGAAACAAGCAGTTGGGGGGAGGGGAACCTCTGGGTTGTGTTGGAGGCATCACCACAGGCTGAGATTAGTCTCAGGCTGAGCCAGGTGCCCCAGGAACGGGGCCGAGGGAGCCAGGGGACTGGCCTTCAGCAGGCAGGGTCCTGTGCTAGCAAAGAGCTGTGCCCCTTCCCCTAGGCTTCCTGGACGTGTCGGGCATCTCCCTCTTGGACAGCAGTGCCAGCGTCTGCCCCAGCCTGCCCTCCTTCCCAGAGCTGACCTCCACCGCCGTGCCAGCCGCAGGGCTGGAGGACGTCGGCTCCAGCAGTGGCTCTCACGAGCGTGGCGGTGAGTGGCTTGCACCGCAGAGGCCTCTGGGAAGGCTGTCCCGTTTCTCCATGGGTCAGAGGCTGGCGTGTGGGCGGGAGGAATCCGGCCATGTCAAGGTGTTTGTACACTGGCTCTCTCCTCTCCCTCAGTGTCTGGGGTGGGATTTGGAGGTCAGTGGGGTTACTGCCCCGGCCACACTGGCCCCAGGTCCTGCAGGCCTCCTGAGCCCCCTCCTGTGTGTTTCAGGGGAGGCCACGTGGTCTGGATCAGAGTTTGAGGTCTCCTTCCCAGACAGCCCCGGTGCGCAGGCCCAGCAGGACCACCTGCCGCAGCTGACCCTTCCCGACAGCCTCACCTCTGCAGCCTCGCCAGAGGACGGGCTGTCTGCTGAGCTGCTCGAAGCTCAGGCCGAGGAGGAGCCGGCAAGCACAGCAAGTCCAGGTCTCAGGGCAGAAGCCGAGGCAGCCAGCCAGGCCCAGCTCGCTACCCCTGAACAACACCCTGGGCAACGGCAAGGCCCCTGATGGCATTTCCTGAGGTCCAGGTGTGGGGAGGTGGCTCAGGCCACACTGCGGGCCCAGCCCCTCGCCTGATCCCAGCCCAGTATGTCCAGCTTCCTGGGCTGTGGCTCCGAGTGATGTGTGGGGACTTCTGCAGGTGGGGGGCTTGTGTCCACTCACCCCACTGGTTTCCAAGAAATGACCTGCCAGCATCTGCGGGATGGTCCTGGCTTTGGGGAATTGAGCTCTTGTTTGAGAATCTTAAGCACATCTTTGGGGTGGTAGGGAGCTGGGAGCAGCACCCCGGAGGGAGCTGGGGGAGGAGAGGAAGGCTTCTTTGCTGCTCGTGTGGCGCATGGAACCTTGGTGGTGGGGAGAGGCGGCGTGGGCCTGGGGGAAGGGCATCTCGGCCGTGTACGCTGAGGGCCAGTGCTTGCTCCTGCGTGGTCACTGGCTTCCCAGGAAGCAGCATGGCCCAGGCGTGGTCAGGTGTGGCAGTGGGGTAAGGGAGGAAGGGGTGGGTGTGGTGTTTGCCTAACCGCTTTGCAGAGCTTGCCTTGATTCTTCCTGCACAGCTGAGCCCGTGCTATCTACTGGAAGGCACCCCAACCCTGGGGACCCTTGAAGCCCCAATTACTGTCTCTCCTGTCACGTGCCCCCATCCCTGTGCCACACTGCACAGCCGGCTCAGGTTGACTGACATCTGCCAGTCACAGCTGGAGAAGAGAGGCAGTGAACTTGCCCACCTCTCATGGGAGAGGAGGGTTGGAAATTCTAGAACCTTCAGCAGATACTCACCTGTGCTTAGACCACAATGTTTCTTCTTTCCCCGGGCTGACACCCCACAGATCTAGTATCTCCAGTGTATCCCCTGTCAGCTCCCAAACTTACACAACAATCTCTTCTACATACACAAGGCACCTGGTCAGCCCCAGTGGTGAATAAGTTATAAATTTAAATTCACACTCTCCAAACCAGTCCTGACCAGATCTCTTTACACACAGCTCCCACCACAAGGGGAAACGAGAGGCCAGGGCCAGAGTGGGTGAGGGCCCTTCTGTCCTTTCCCAGTGTGTGTGTGCTGTTCCTCCTACCACCAGGTGCCTTGGGAGGCTAAGGCAGGCATGGGTCTTGTGCTCTGTCCTGCAGGATGAGGAGGGCTCCCCCAGGGACGGGGTCCTCACCTGCCCCGGCTAGAGTCCCTTGCCTTCCCACACTCTGTGCTCGTTACCATGAAGGCTGCCTCTGGCCTTGTCCTCTAGTCTCTGTCCACATTGAGTCCCCGCTGCTGCTTGATTTGTAACGTTCGCATGTACAAGGAAATTCAGAGCTCTCAGGCCTGTAGCACAAGGACGATCAGCCGAAGGTGGCACAGGCCAAGTGTATGGAGGGAGGCCCCCAATTAGTGAACACTGAGTTTCCAGCGCTCTGACCGCACGGCCAGCGAGCCCTGTCCAGCCCACCAGCGCAGCCACACTGCAGAGCAGGAGGCCTGGGTGCAAGGCCAGCGGGGGGCCTGCTCCGGGGCTGCCTGGGAGCCCAGCTCCGCCTGCAGAACTGCAGGAAGAACAAGCCCAGGGACTGCTCCGAGGGCAGGTCCCTGCGCTGCAGCCTGGCCCCCCGGCCCCGGCACCCTCACCCAGGGTTCTGGTCTTCCTTGCTTCACACATGCCTCTTCCCAAGTTGCAGGATAAAGCGGATACCAATGCTAATTATTTCCAGGGTAAACAGGAAAACCAGAGGTTTCTCAATTTCTCTATCATCTGCTCTGAAGGAAAATGACAAGTGAAAAAATAAACATGTGCTATGCTTTGAATATTTTAACTAAAGCCTTTATTCTATACAACTGTGAAATACAGATTTTTACCCTTTTGGCATTGCAGACTGTCCACTTTTCTGGAAACTTACTGGTTTGACGGGAAGAAAAGAAAAAAGTACAACCATGCTGGGGTCAGATCTATGACAGGAAGGGAGCACAGCCGCCCCTCGAGGTTCGGGAGCAGGGCAAGACGGCCCAGCAGCAAAACCCTCCCTTTAGCCCAAGGGCCCCTCATGCAAACACAACAGGGCTGGTAAATGAGTTTGGTGTGTTTTTTGACATGAATTCACGACTATTGCTAAAAAACGTGCAGCAAAAGTGCACTGTTGTATCCAACAGATAGAAAGGGCTGTTTACAAAAGAAGTGGGCTGCTCTCTGCGTGAGGGAGGGGGACTCGGTGGAATGGGGCTCACGTCCTCAGAGCCAGCGGCAGTGACCTGTCCACTTCCCAGAGGAGGCTGCCCGCGGTGCGGGAGGGAGGGAGCCCTGTCCCTACAGCTGTGCGAATCCCAGTGTCTCGAACAGGAAGGTCTGGATCGAGGCCCATCGGCTGCCTTCAGCTGAACCCCTGAAGATGTAGAAAAGAAACCCTTCCCCACCCCCGCCCCAGGCCCCGCTGCTATGGGCGCTGCTGTACACGAGCTGGGGAGGCCCCTGGCCTAGAAGGAACTGCCTCTGAAGGCACTTGTGCTTCTGGCTCCACACGGGAGGCGAGTCTCACGCAGTCTGGTCGGGGCAGACCATTGCTCTCGTCTGAATACAAATGACCTTGGGGAGAATCCAAAGTGTTTTTATGCCAAAAGTTGAAGTGTTTATCCCCAATAAGTTATATTCTGTACAAGATCCAAATGATTCTATGAAAGCTTTAGATTGTTAGAAAGAACAGTGAAAAGCAATCTGGATAGAGGTACAACAACAAAAACCTGCATATAAAACTCTGGAAAACAAATATGTATGTTTCCAGGCTATGAATTACCAAAGCAACTCACCATGATATCCTTGCACTGACACCATACATTTTAGGTAGCATTTTAAACGAAGTTAAAATTTCACCACGGTCTTAAGTTTTGATGGTGCCTTGCTGCTCACCAGAGCAAGTACCTCTGGTGCCACCTGGCTTTGCCCGTAAATAAAATGACACAGTGGAGGAAGGAGTACGACAGCTGCACCTCCCTGTGGCTGCTGGACAGTCCGGGGCACTGGGGTCAGTGTGGCATCGCTGGGGCACAGCGGTCCATGTGCTATGGCCCAGCCCCTGGAGGTGCCACAGCTCCATCTGCAGGAACACATCTGAGGTGCAGTAGTAGAAACAAGCCCAACACTAGTCATTTATGAAATGGGCTGACTCTCGAATTGTGCAACAGCAAGTTCCTATTAAAAATAACTGTCTTAAATGGGAAAACAATTTGTTTTTAATGACAAACTTGGAAAAAGCCTTCATAGGTACTGCACGAATGGAATGTACTCTCTTAGAAAAGCTACTCAGCACGTGTGAAGTGGAAACACAGTGACAGATATGGCCCTACAGGATGTGTTTCTAGCAAGTGCTAACGAAGATAAGGTCCTTTGAAATAAAAGGAGGAAGCCAGGCCTGCGCTGGCCTGTCAGTTCTCTGTACATCTCGAGAGACAGTTGGCTGGGGTTCTGCTCTCGGACTCTGCCTCCCTGGGGACAGCTTGTTCTACACAAGGAGACTGGTTTCTATATTACATTTCCATTAGTCACTGCAGTTGAAAGAGAATCTCAGTCCATACCAAATCGGCCATTAGAAGTCTGGCTCCCACTGGGCTCAGTGGGCTTCCTAGGACTACTCTTGGGGCCACAGAGGAAGGTCAGTAAATGGATACCCAGGAGCGCTCGCCCACCCCTCACGTGGACTTCTGCCGGTAATGGAGGGTGAGGTCCCCGCCACTCTTCCATATGAAGTGTTTCACTGTCCGCAGGTCCATATTTGGATCCAAAACCTGAACAGCAAAACATAAATTAGAAATGTCAAAGCCTCTGCTATCTAAGGCCTTTATGGTTGCCTCTCACAGGTGAGCCAGAGCGCCCTCCCCTCCCCTACCCCCGGGTGGCCCGCTCGTGGGCCTGACTGCCATGCATACAGGCACAACCCTGGGCGCAGGACACCGTCTCCAGCCATTCCTCGCGAAGGCCTTCAGTGCATCTTGTTTTAAAACAGCTCCACCCACCCCACTTCACATCCTAAACTAACAGAATCTCTCTGCAAATCAAGATGACCCTGTGTCCTTTCCTTGGGAGACACCCGGAGTTCCTTAGAGCCTCTTTAAGAGCAGAAGCCCCTCCTCCCCCCAAAGGCAACGGACCTGGGAACCATAATCAGACCCCGTGATGTAACTCCGAGCACTGGCCCTGGTCCGCAAGCCCACCTACCTGGTCCTGGCACAGAAGTTCAATTTTCTCCTCTGCCAGCACAGCAATATCCTCCTCTTTTTCCTGTTCTCCTGGTTTTTCATTATTAGAAGAGCTAGTGGTTTGCGACTCATTATCCAAGTTGATAATTTTCTCATAAACATGTTCCATGACTTTCCGGACCTGGAGCATGTCGCTAGCAGAAAGTCTATCTCTGTAAAAGGCAAGGGCAGACTTGACATCGGGAAGTCACTGGATATTATCTCTTCCATATTCTTTGGTGTTAACGTTTTATAAAGATGAAAACAGACCACAGAAACATAAACCAATACAAGTTTTAGTCATTGCCTTCTGCCATTTTTAGAACTGCCAACCGACCTCCGTGGTGCCCTTTAAGCCATGATGATGCTGCACCCAAGCGGACACACTAACTGCTCTGGGAGGGGAGGCGGCCCGGGCTCCCAGGCCCATTTCCCCCAGGGCCTGCCTTCCTACAGCTGACACCGTGAGTCTCAACCTCCTGCCCCAACTCCACACCCACAAACCCGATAGCTGACTGGGTATCTCCAGTTGGCTGTTCCCCAGGAACCTCAAACTCTACATGTCCAAACCTAGATTCATCAACTGCCTCACCCCCAAACCTACTTCTGTTTCTCTGATGTCAGTTAATGGTTGAGCCAAGTAGGCTCAGGCTCAAACTCTGAAAGCACCTTGAGTTTAGGGTCATTACATCTAGTGAAGTGAGATCTAGGACTTGCTCCTGTGTGTGTGCAGGCAGGTGGGGGGAGGGTAGGAGGAAGTAGCAGATGAAGCAAATGTTTGGCCGTGTGTGGAGAATGACTGGAAGCTGCTGGATGGGATAATGGGGGTTCATTCTCCTGTTCTTTGTTTGTATGTGATTGGAAATACCCTCAACAAAAGGTTTTAAAGTCTTATTGATTTTATTTGCTAGGATATACACCCATGAAACCGGAATTTCTTCTCCGACTTCCCTCTGAAGTTATTTTCCCAGCACCCCCACATCCTAGGCTGCAGCACAGAGGTCCTCGCTAGTTTTCAGTTCTTGCGCATGCTTCCACTTCCACATCCCTGATCAAACCATTTCCTGGACCTGGAATATCTCTTGAAGTTCTATCCATCCTTACAGGTCTAGCTCAAATTCCATGTCCTTCGAGAAGCCTTTCTGGAAAGCTCCAAAAATTCATTTCTTTCCCCTACGCTCATGATTTCTTAAGTATCCATAAAAGCAGTTATTATGGATACACAGGAGCACTCACCCACCCCTCACGTGGACTTCTGTCAGTAATGGAGGGTGAGGTCACATCACTCTTCCATATAAAAGAGTGTAGGGCACAGATTATGGCAAGAGACAAAATCCATGTCTTATTTTTGAACATCTGTAGCTTACCATAGTAGGTACTTGGTAAATCATTAAACTGTATGAAGTGATATAAAACTAGCCTTATATCTAATCCTTGCCTCCTTTGCTATAAAAGCAATCATAAGGAATAAAAAACCTGTCTGGTAATTAATTAGATAGAAGCATCACATGACAGTACATTTACTTACTTTTTTAAGGTTTTTGCTCCTGAAGATGCATGAGGTTGGAGGTAGAAAGGAATTTTGTTGAATTTGGGCATATTTTTCTGAAATATTAAAAGTAAAAAATGGCATCATAGTTTCTATTAACTGATAGATTAAAATGATGTCAATAGGAGAACATGATTTACAAGTTAATAGTTGTTTTACAATTAAAAGTCACTTTCTATGAAATTTACAGTAAGCTATCAAATGATCTAAGTCAGCCTTAGACAAAATGTATCAGAAAAGTATAATGTTCAGTTTTGTAATAAAAGATTACATGTAATGTCAGTGGCAATATGAACTTGCAAACACGGCTCTTTTCAAATAACAATTCAAAGTATTAAAGGGAGACACATTTTATTTTAATTCGTGAAGCCAAACCGAAATCTAAATTCTACATTAAACTATTAAGGCTGATCCCTAAAGGCCCAAACAAAAAATTAAGTGCCTTGAGAGAAACCCGTAACATTTGTCTTTGAGCAAAACCATACTCTACGCTGGTGAGGCCCCTCATGCAATGGAAAGGCCAACCAGGCCCTCCCACGCTCCTTCCCTCTGACGTCAGAGGCTGAGGTTTTGCACAAGAGTGGAAACTTCAGCCAACTAGCTAGACATCTACCGTGAAGTAAACCACATACTTAGTGAAAGATAAAACTAACTGGTCATCTTTTCTCTGGGTATCAATCCCCTCCGAGCCTCCATGCCCTGGCCCATCCAGATGTCTCCTCTCAGGAATAAGCCACAGGCCTAAAGTATGCCAGGTGAGTTGCACACTCAAAGGAGTAGTGGTTTATGGGGGAGCTCGGACTTGGAGACGACCACAGAATATCCACCAGGTGTCACACTGGCATGGAGGTGGTATATCTGGGACAGAAAATACTTTCTGAAGGTTCTAGAGATTAAATCTCTTTTCATATGGCTTTAGGGGTATACAAAATAGGTCAACAGCACAGAAGAGAGTCTAGAAACAGACCCATGTGTATGCAGAAATTTAGTATATGATAAAGACAGCATTTCAAATTAGTAGAAAAAGGATAGATTATTTAAAAATTGTGTTGGCACACTGGCTATTGTCCATTTGTAGAAAGTTAGCATCCTACTTCACACCAAACAAAATAACTAATAGATTAAAGACCTAGACATAAGCAATTATCATAGACATACTAGAGAATACAGGAGAACATTTTTGCTACTTTGGAGAGGGAAATACATAAGCAAGACATGAAACTCAGAACCATAAAGTGTCAATCTGATTATATAAAATTAAAACTTTTTGCCTGACAAAAATACCACAAAGTAAAAATTCAATTAAGAGACATAATAGTCAAAGAGTTAATATTTAATATGATGAGCTCCTATAAATTAATAAGAAGGAGAAAAACCCAATAAAGAAATAAGTAAATAACACAAGCAATTCACAGAAGAAATAGAAATGGCCAATATGAAAAGATACTTAACCTCACTATAAATTAAAAAAAACCCCAAATTATATTAAAACAATGAGATAGTATTTGTCTATCTTTTAGCAAAGATTGAAAGTATCCAGTGTGGGTGAGGGTGTGGGCACGCATACACTGTGCAGAGAGTGTAAACTGGTATAGCCTTTGTGGAGGGCAATTTGCCGATATCTATCAAAATTTAAAATGTGCATACCCTTTGATCCAGCAATTCCACTTCTAGGAATTTATCCTAAAAAGTACACAAAGTTATATGTACAAGGATGTTCACTGAAGCATTGTTTGTAATAGAAAACATTGGAAACAACCTAAGTGCCCATTAGTAGGGTACTGGTTAAATAAATTATGGTACATTTATACAATGGAATAGTATACAGTCATTTAAAAGAAATGATCCAATCTGTAGTGTCATGAAAAAATGCTCAAGATAGATTTTTAAGTAAAAAAACAAAACAAAACAAAAAACCACCAAGCTGCAGAACAGTATGCATAACAGATCTTGTGAAAATAAAACAAGCTGCATGCAGATAATATATGCTGATGTAGCATAGAAAAAAGCACTAAAGGCTCTGCACTAAACTAGTAACAGTTATTACCTCTGGGGAGAAGGACAGGGAGCAAATGGAAGAGAAGGAGTGACTGAGAAAGGGATGGGAGTTTCACTTTATTCATTTATGTTCTTTAATAAGCATATATTATTTTTATAGTTAAAAACCAATACCGATATCCACAGATGAATACCAATACTACTTCTGCAACTTTGGAACTACAGGGAAGCAGAAGAGGATTCTACCTGGCAGTCTAGTTTTTACTTAATAAATTTATTCACAAAAAGTGAGACTGTAGAGGGACGGGGGTCCATGGGCAGGGCCTGGAGAGCTCTGTATATAGGGCTGGGAGACAAGGGACCCTCCAGGTGGAAGGGTGCTTTGTAATCACATAAAGTAAAAAGGGAGTTACAACCACTCCCTCCTCCATCCTCGATTAAAAAGACGTCTCTGAGGTGAATGGGGAGCCCAGGACTTCAGGGTGTTGGAAGGGTTTCACGTGTGCCAGGGGTGAAGGGGTGTCGCCGGCACCAGGCGGCTCCTGCATCAGCTGGTAGAACTGCACGCAGCCCTCACTGGGTGCCGCCTGGTTTTCACTGACAGGAGACACAGAAGTCATTGTGGACATGCCAACCAGTCTGGCACCGGCGCAGGGCTGTGTAGTGGCTGCAAAGGGCTTAGAGCGGACACACGGGGCTCCCGGCTCTGTCCCTGGCACAGCTCCCGAGGCTCGGTGGCTGCAGCGGGAGGGCTACTCCTACTGCACTCTTCCTGATGGAGCCTCGGGAGGCGGAGCACGAGGATTCGGGGATGGCTGTCCTGTCAGCTTTCGGGTATTTGTTTTCTTTGGCAATCTAGTTTTTATGACACTTTCAGGTTACAGTCTGAAGCAGTTCTGAACTTGCTTCGTGATTTGGAAAAAACACAAGGGCGAAGTGGGAGGGGAGGACACTTACATCCACAGTGATGTCAATTACCCATTGCGGCACCGTCTCGTTGAGGAGCATGGACTCAGTCTCCCCTCCGGAATCCCGGCAGAGCAGCCTAAACACAGCCATCAGGTAGTGAGTGACACGGCAGCAGATGACAAAATCACTGTTATAAACACTAGACAAAGGGACAGGGCCTTACAGCGTTCATTCAGGACAACCCACTGAGCTGAGGAAAGAAGTGCAGCTGGAATGGCTCACTCAGCCGGAGCGGGAGCAGACTCCGGGGCCAGCAGCACCAGCGCTGCCTGAGTCCCTGTGTAATGCGGGAAGCCTGTGTGTAGGCAAAGCCCCCGAGAAAGACCCCCTGCCAGCGCTGCAGCCCCCGGCACAGCCTCCCCACAGAGCGGGGCAGGGTATTTTGGTAACACACTCAGGAAACCACCATAAAGGCAGAGAATGCTGCGCTCAAGGGCAAGACAAGCCCCTTTCTTACTTATGGTCCTACAGAGGCTCTCGTGCGCTCTCCCCATCATTCTAGCAGGCCTTGCTGGCAACGTGTAGGTAAGACCAGCGTAGCTCTTTCCTGCAGGGACACACGCAGCCCAGCCTCACACCTCAGATCAGGCCATCGCTGGGCCCAACGATTCCCAGGAGCAGCCCGGTCCATCCTGCCTGACCCAGCCTGCGGGCAGTCACCTACTCTGATGCTGTCCTGTGGACAGGGACTTCTGGTGCTGCCATCTGTCCCCTGACCCCGGCAGTCATGCTGAATAAGTGAAAGTGAGTTTCCTGCAGACACCACCAGAGAAGCTGCCTCGAGGCAAGGTGTCGACCTCATTTAACAGCAGAGGCTCAGCTCTCAGAACAGTGGTCTAACAGCATCACTTAACTCTCACGGAGATGAAAAGCTTCCCAAGCCCTGACGCCTCTAGAGTGATAATGAACAATCTGTAGCCTCTGCCTCCAGCCCTCCTTGCTCATACCTGAACAGTGTGCGGCCTCCTGCTTCACCAAAGATCACGGGGGTGTGGGGGGGCACTTGGAAATAGCCATTCCCCTTCTGTACTCGGTTCTCCTGCTCCCCATTTACTAGGAAAAGATACAGACGGTGTCAGACGCAGAGTTAGTGCAACGAACAGATTCTAAACATTATGTTTACCCAGGCTTCAAACACTGCAGTATTTTTAAAGTTAAAAGTCCTTTAAGTCAGCCAGAGTAAAAAATAAAGGCAAAAAACAAACCAAGTCAAATTCCTGAAAGTAAGAAATACTTGGTATAGCAACTTGTGATGTGCCCCATGAGAAATGACTGCATTTCAGAGGGTTTTAGAAGAGATTAATGTTTGAGATTTGAAGCAAAAGCATAACCATCTACTTGAACCACAGGGGAGTCTAGGAAAGTGTGTTTATAAATGGTAATCTGGTGTGTGTTTTTAGTAGAACTCTAAGCTCGGAAATATTTCTTGGGTCAGAAAAAAAATTATTTTCGTGGCGGCCATAACTGATGGCAGAGGGATCAGTGAAAAATAAAATCCTCAGAGAGGTCATACTCTTGTTCATATTGTTCTCTGCAGATTTCATTTCACTGTTTTCTTTGTAATCTTTTGACCCAAGTGCAGTTAACCCCGACTCAGGTGCCAACTTGCTCATGAATTTCCCCAATGAATCCGGAAGCAGCCCATCCTCTGAAATCCTACAGCACCTTCAGAGCCGCTCCCATGACACCCAGCACTTCTCCCTGGACTCAGAATGCTTCATGCAGGTAGCTCTCTGCCCAGCAGAACGTCAGTCCTTGCAGGACAGGGTCCCTGCCCATTTATCTGCATCATCCCCACCTATAACTTACTAGAGGCCCGAGTACTTGAGCTCAATAATACAATCTAAGCAATTCCTGAGTATCTGCTGAGCACAGAGCAGGTACAGCAGATTACCAGACAGGTGGACACCATAGTGTCCTGAGCTCTGGCTGGGGAGGTGGGCAGGCCTGCCCTGCTTTACTGTGGCACTTTGACTTGAAGAATGACTTGCGTTTTCCTGGGACTTCCTCCCCCAACCCAAACCTGGATCCAAGAGGTGCTGACAGTAGCACTGTTTCTTGACTAATCTTTAGCGGACACTTGGGCCTCTGAGGGCATCCTGTCTGTGATGCTATAGATGGAGGACAAGCGAAGAACAGGACAGGACATGCCCACAGCTGCACCGCTGATAAATGGCAGAGCCATACCAAAGCCTCGCTTTCTCAACCCTCGGTGGAGAGATCTGTCCACTGAGTTTCTCTGGGTCCCAGCCCACTGTGCAAGTCTGATGGGGAGGTGACATAAAAGAAAAGCCACATGGGGGACCAGTGCCCTCTCTCTGGCAGGGACATCAGAAGACTGGCTTTCAAGGAACATGCCATGCTTACAAAAGAGATTTAAAGTCCAAAAATCATTCTGGATGCGTCAGTCAGCAGAGCGAAGTCCCTGCTAGGTGCGCATCGCTGCTGACCACCAGAAGCGGCCATCCTCGGCAGACTTCAGGGAACTCAGAATCCTCAGCAGAGTGGGCCCTCAGTAGGTGGGACACAAGGCATCTTCAACTGGCTGTAGGTTACACATGAGTTGTCAAATTTTAAGATCTTTCCTCCCCTTTCTTTAATCAGACTGAGCCTATGAGAAGGTTGCTGCCCCTGACGGTGGCACACACAGTCTTTGAATGTCCTCAAGGGCATTCATTCTTTATATAGACGTGTTCACTTTTCCTGACACTTCTGAGTTGGAATTTGATTTTTTTGAAACATTCAGAGCCAAGATCAGGCAGATCATCAGACTAGGTAATAGCAACATTTCAGGCCAACATGAAATATGACAATACAAGGCCAACCTGGCTTTCTGATGCAGCTAACTAGCGAGGCTTGAAGGTAAGTCCAGCAGGTCCATGGATACCCTGAGAAACAGCTTCAGCATAAGCCTGTCTACTTTTAAGGACAAAGGTCATGTGAATATACAGGGTTTATTCTCTCTATATTGAGCAGTTTCACTGACTCAAAGTTCCTTGGATTTTCAGTGAAGACTGGATGGATGTTCCTTCTTTGGGATGTGGAAGGGAAGGCAATAAATTGGGCACATCACAAATATTATGTTACAATTTAGCAAATGCTTAAAATGTTTCTTAAAATAACAACCAGTCTAAGTCTTTTTAACTTCTGAGTAACTGTTAACCATTTATCCCGATATAAAGCACGAACCATGGTTCACTTCATTTTCTTCTTCGTCTATGGGATTCACATGTGTTCTAGGCCAATATTCTAGGAGTGCCTGGAGCAACAGTCCTCCTAAGTTCACTGCAACAGAGTTAATTAAAAAGACAAAAAATGGAAAAGAGAATTACTCGTTTTTACCTAAAAATAGAGGGAAAGAAATAAAAACAAGTTTCCACATATTCTGATGTTAAATTTTTTTCCTAATCCTCACCTGAGGATATGTTTTTATTGCTTTTACAGAAAGGAGAGAGAGAGAGAGAGAGAGAGAGAGAGAGAGATGTGAGAGAGCAACAGAGAGAGAGAGAGAGAGAGAGATATGTGAGAGAGAAACACCACATGTGTCCCGACTGGGGATCAAACCCACAACCCTCTGGTGTATGGGACGACACTGCACCCACCCAAGCCACCTGGCCAGAGCCTGATGTTAAATTCTTAACCCAATGCCAATGATGTTTAAAAGCAAGCCTTCAGAGATTTTGCCAAGTCTATTAAAATTTTAACTTTGAATGTTTAAAGCAGTGGTAATATGGAGCAAACATATTCTATTTGGTTGTTCAGATATAGCCATTCTTTAAAAGGCTATTTCATATAAAGCCACTAGAACGGTATTTGTATACATCGGGTACATGCTACATTAGGAAAATCCTGACCAAAGACATCATCAACACAACAGAACAGACTCTTAGAAAGATGAGCACAAGGAGAGAGCACAGACCCACCTTCTCTTTCGCAAGGAGGAAGAGAAGGAAGGACACACTCACGTTTTGGATCTGACCCGTCAGGGCTGCTGAAGCCGGCATCTTTGGCAGAAACCCAAGCAGCAAAACAGTCGCTCTCATCCAGAGTAATAGTCAACATCTGTCAGAAATAAAAGTTGTTAGTGGCATGCCATTGGATACATTCTCCAAACGCGTATCTAAACCTTTATTTGTACTGTTTAACTAAAGTGCTAAGCCACAGATTCAGAACCAAAAGGTGTTTCATGCAGTTCTATGCAACTACACTTTAATTTACGAGGACACCAAAAGATATTTAAACTACATTTTGCAAGAATTAATAATTTTTTCCCTTTCACACTTAAAAACATAGGACTCTGTAATTAACGATACTTAATTTTGAGCTACGTTAGAAATTTTCAACTATCCCAAATTGCACAAGTACCAATTGTGAACTTACCCCTGTTTTTAAGTCTACTGAGAACCAATTTGGTACATACACCATCTTAAATCTTTTTTTAATTTCATCTTCAAAATCTACTTTGCCCAGATCTTCCACTTTACTTGCCTATACATAAAAAAGAAAGTATAATAATTAAGTGGCAACTTAATTTGATTCTGACTTAGCTACTCAAAATTTTACACATTTTCACATTTTGCCTATTAATATGGAGTCTAAAACATTTTTTAAAAAAATGGTCAAACATTTTTATTTTAGAGCAGTTACCTTTAAATAACCATTACAATTTTAAATTACCCCCTCCCCCAAATATTCGTTTTGGAAACTAGAGCCTTATCTAATATTCACGTAAGAAAGTATCTAACTCCCAAATAAAGTATTATTGAAACGAAATCTTAATTTATATACTTATTTTCTTGGTGTATATCTATCTATATATCTACATCTATGTATATCTATATCATAAAAAATAAGTGGGATATATGAACCAGTATCATATATTTAATATAAAAGATACTCACCTTCAATACGTCCCAATATGCCACATTATTATTGGTATCTTTTGTTAATATATGTCTCTTATCATTCAGAATGTGGCACTGAATAATACTAGCACCGCCTAAAGGAGAAAAACCCACACAATTAGCAGAACAATCCTTCACTACATTTAAATTCACTGTGCGGCAATAACTGTGAACTGGTATCTAACAGAACATAAATCATACTAGCCCCCCAGGAAGAAGAAGGCAAATCAGAAGACTATGTCATTATATCTAAGGCAATTTAAGGTCAATCAAACAAAAATAGTCTGGTTTTAATACAGATTATAGATTAAAAGAATCCTCACTTCAACATGGGGCTACTAGTTGAAACTGTTAAGGGCAGACAGTTTTACCCGCTGGGAAAGTCCAAATGATGACAGGAAACCTTTAAATGAGCCCCATCTCTCATCAACTTTTGCTTCCTATCTTCCTTCTCTTTATGCTCCTGCAGGAACATTGTTGTTGAATGTGTCATTCAATATTCTAATCCCAAGCTCTGACATTAAAGTCAGAGGTGCCATTACAGCTGTAGTCTGTAGAATTCTAGGACCAGATCTGACTTTTCTGGCTTGTGCTAAAAGACAACACTAAACTCTATATATTTTTCAGAATGGCTGTTGGCTTTACCAAGACCGTGGCTATCCTGATGCTGGGTAAAAAGATTAATTAAAGAAAGCCCACATTTTGAAGTCACTAAATAGCAGTTTTTAAAAACTTTCTTCTATTAAAAATAAATCAAAATGCTATTACGAGTCTTTTGTTGACATCAGAATTACATTAATAGAAGGTCATCTCCTCCATTTCTGTAAGTCTCTTAGTAACTACAATTAATCTCCACAAAAGGTACTAAATACCTTCCAATTTCCTTACTCACCTTTAATAACCTGGTCAGGTTGTGTACAAAGGGGTGTTATAGGATTTGTACAGTCATTGTCATAATCTCCAGAGGCTCTAAAGTTGTGAATTCCCTTCAATGTCTGAAGGAACAAAATTTATTATTTAATCATTTTATGCTTTATAAGCTTTGCCAATCTGTTTAAAGTGGCAAGAAAAACAAAGAACAAACAAATGAGAACAACCCAACAATAAAACATCAGCCAAAAAATACATAGTGACAAAGTATGATTATCTACCATGATTTAAAAAACCCAAACGAACATTAAGAAGGGAATGTCTTTTTGGAGAGAACAGCAGACATTCTTCCAGGTAAACTATGTTGATCGCAAATTAGCACAATGAAATTTAGACAAGAAACGTAACATTTGTTACAGTACAGAGAAAGACCACTTGACCTGCATAATAAACAGGAATAAATATAAACACTGGCTCTTTTGTTATCCACGAACAGTCTGGTAAGAAAACTTAAAGTCTTCAATTAAGATTTAAGCATTAATAGTACTTTTGATGACTTCTCTCTGACCATCCTCTTATTTCTCTCCCTGTTTTTCATACTATGAAGAAAAAGGAAATGAGTCTGAAAGCACAGTTTTCTGTTTTCTCTGTTTAGAGAAACAGAAGCCTAACCAGTTTCCCTGCTGTGCTGGTACTGGGCTGCCTATTGTCAAATGCAGCTCCATGAGGTCAGAGCTGTACTAAATCTACTGGCTGTATCAGGCCACAGCTTAGGCATGTCACATATATTTCTTGGCTTCTGACAAAGACATCGAAGCGTCATTTTGACCACTACCTTAATTTCTGTGCAACCCTTAGGCCCACACCTGCATTCATGGGGGCTTTCAGATTTTTGCACTGTTGAAAGGCATGCTGAGCCAGGCTCATACTGAGCATTTGTTACTGGGTCTAATCCTTTATCAGCTTCTAATCCTTTGTCAGCTGTACAATGGCTCACTTACCCATTTATTTACTGTAGATTTCGTTGTTGCAACCCAGATTGCAGGAGGTGGATCAGCGGATCTATCAAGCTCCATCTGAAAACAACCCACAAAAACACCGCTGTGTGGAATGCTGACTCTTCTGAGCTGCCAGGACCTGCTCTACGTTATTAAATAACTCCTCCATTCAGCACTGTGTGTTGACTATACCATGGCACGTGTTAAAAGCTAGGGATTCAACAAATGAATGAGGGAGTCTGTGCTAAAGAAAGTCATGACCCTATAAAAGTGTAGCAGCAGTGACTTCTCACCAAAAATAATGGCTTAAAGGTTTGTGTGGTTAATTTAAGGCAGGGGTGGGGAACCTTTTTTCTGCCAAGAGCCATTTGGATATTTATAACATCATTCGAGGGCCACACAAAATTATCAACTTAAAATTAGCCTGCTATATTTGGTCAAACATTTAATTAACTCACACCTAATGCCTCCGCAGGGCCAGACCCAATGATCTGCGGGCCTTACATGGCCTGTGGGCTGGATGTTTCCCACCCCTGATTTAAGGGATCTACATGGGTACAGGCCAAAGGATGACTTATCAGAATTTTTTTGTTTTGCTACCCTTTTTTTATGTTCTTAATAACAAAGAAATGGATTTATTTTTCTCTTTGAAAATGTTAGTAGTAAAAATATAACACAGCAAAAGTGAAAAGTACCCCACATAATCTACCCCCTCACCCAGGATAGTGCACTTATGAACAGTTTACTGTGTGCCCTTCTGTATTTTTAAAATACTAAATGTATGCCTTAGCCGGTTTGGCTTAATGGATAGAGCGTCAACCTGCGGAAAAGGGTCCCAGGTTCAATTCCGGTCAAGGGCACGGGCCTGGGTTGCGGGCTCGACCCCCCGTGGGGAGCATGCAGGAGGCAGTCAATCAAAAATTCTCTCTCATTATTGATGTTTCTATCTCTCTCCCTCTTCCTTCCTCTCTGGAATTAATAAATATGTATTAAAAAATACTGAATGTATAAATATACAAATGCCCATATATCATGCAACGGGAATCACTCTGCATTAGCCCACTGTTCTTCCTGTACCAGGAAACCGCAGGACTGGAGCTGCGGGGACAGGGCCGGGCTCTTAGCAAGCCGGGATCCTCTTCAGTTCAGAGCGACGCTCCTTGTAACACACGGCTGTCTGCGCTAAGGTCTTTTTCTCCAGCCAAGAGACCCTGGCAGCTGCAGGACTCACAGCGCAGTGTTCCTCCTCCCCACCTGTCACCCCCTCAGCTGCTTCCTGCACACATGCTGTGTCTGTGATGGCAGCCCTAACTTGCTTGCTGTTCTCTAAAGCATTACTGGTTTGTCCATTAGGACGTGCCCTCTACCTTAGAGAACTGCACTCAGCCAGACCACAGGCATCCTCTCAACGTCTCCTCGACCTCTGTTCCCTGTTGCAGCCCTTCCTCCTATGCTGTGGTCTGGGTGTCAGATGTCACTCAGCTTCACAGATGGGTATTTGCAGTTGTTTCTTGCTTTCCCTGATGTTTGCAGATGATTTCTGAGAAGACAGGGTAGTCTGTCTTTATGCTCCCTTTGAAAGTTCCTCGCTGTGTTGCAGTGTGCAATTCTAGGACTATCAGTGAGGCTGGACATCTGTCCCGTGATGCCTGGCCATTTTTTAGCCTCAGCTCTACTTCTAATAGGTGTCAATATGGATGGCTTCCAAAGCACCCGTTCACCCACATCCAGACCCCGATCAGGACCACTCTGAGCAGTCACGTGTAGGGTGTGAGCCAGCTCATTCCCTCCTCCTGAGGAGTGCTCTGCCACACCCTCCCTCCCTCTGAGCAGTGGACAATTTCTGCTTACAGATACCTGAACTCCTCATATTCCTCCTCTAATGACAGGTTAAGACAGCCAGGCGCTCTCAGGAGCAGTGTAACAATCTTAATTATATAAACTAAAATATATGACATACTGCCCTGATTGACTGGTGTGGCTCAGTTGGTTGGAGTGTCGTCACTTGCACCAGAAGGTGGTGGGTTCGATTCCCAGTCAGGGCACACACCCAAGTTTCGGGTTCGATCCCTGGTCGGGTCGCATACAGGAGGTAACCAATCAATGTTTCTCTCTCACGTTGATGTTCTTCTCTCTCTCTCTCTCTCTCTCTTCCTTCCTCTCAAATCAATTTAAAAAAGATATATCACATACCTTGAGAACTGGTGCCTTTTCTTCACAAATCAGCACTCGAATGTCAGGGTTTCTTAGGTCTGTACAGTAAATCTTCCGGTCCCTCCCTCCAGAATACACGTGTGTGAAGGCGTCATTGACTTGCAGAGCCCAAACGCCTTCATCATGGACTCGGTACGTCGCTATACATCTCTGCTGACCGAGGGACCACAGGCGAATTGTCCCATCAGAACTGCCAGAAAGACACTGGGAACAAAGAAAGTAAAGGTTAGAGATCTGTCCGAAAGCTCCTGTGCTCTGCCCAGGCTTCTCTCCTGATGCCACACTGTCAAGCACACACCCCTAGCAACCTGTATTTCTGCCTCTGAAAAGTGGCTTGACCCAGGTATGTTGATACCAATCAAAATAATTGCTATGGTGACGGACCTCAAATCCTAAGATTTGCTAACTAAGGATCTTACGCTACAACAAAGGAAGTGAGGCAATAGGTTGCTGTCCATGAGATTCACTAGCCTATTATACATCACTAGAGGCCTGGTGCATGAAAATTCATGCACTGGAGGGGGGTGGTCCCTCAGCCCGGCCTGCCCCCTCTCACAGTCCGGGAGCCCTCAGGGGCGGGAGGTGATCTGGCGATCAGGGGAAGGCAACGCCCCATCACACCTTGCTGCTGCCACTGCCGGCAGTGCAAGCCTCGGCTGGCCCTGGTTACCTGTGCCTTGGGCCGGCCCTGGGCGGCTGGGGGCCTGAGGGAACTGGGGATCTCCGGAGGCAGGCCACATGCCTGCCGCCCTGGTGGGGCTGAGGGGACTGGGCACTGCCATCTTGTGGCTGTGGGCGCCTCTATCTTTGAGGGTGTGGCAGTCAATTAGCATATTCCCTTCTTGTTGGCTGTGGGTGCCACCATCTTTACAATGGTGTGAGGGTCCATTAGCATATTCCCTCTTTATTAGATAGGATAAGTCCTTGAATCACAATGCCACCAGAGACCCTGCATTAGAGGCTTGCAGGGTAATTCTGCAGGATGCAAAATAAACTCTGGTCCAGTAACTAATATCTAGCGCTTCTGTCTCAAACAAGAGTTTGAGAATCAGTAGCTGACTTTAGTGAAGTGCACTGACTTGTATTTAAGTCATCTTGGTTTTAAAAAGCACATTCATAAACGTATATATAGAAACAAGGCATGGCGTGTAGCAGTCAGGAGGAGCTTTAGCAAGTCTGCCAGGCCCAGAGCCCTCTTCTGGAAACTGTGTCTACAGCCCGTACGTAAGGGCAGTCCCATGGAGACCATATGACCCAGGCAACCTGGACAAAGCTTAGAGAACAAGCCATGGCACCCGTCTCCCGCGCAGCCCAGCAGCTACACTGCAAAACCTGAGCAGCTGACTGCACTATGCTTCTTGACTCATGAAAATGGGGCTGCAAAGGGTTCAAGAGCTCTAAAAATCCAGGGATTACGACAAGAACATACTCATTATTTCTAATCTTCTCACCTACTACACAGACTAAATCTGATTCCCACTTTGCAGATGAGCTAACTAAGGAGCAGGATGAAGTCCTCTCCTCCAGGCCACTCGATGCATTAACACTGAGTGCCTTCCACATCTCCAAGCCTCCTTCGTCTGGCTCTGCAAAGTGATTTCCTTCCTTTGATTAGTTTTTCAAACCTTTCTTTCACCTTTGGAGACAAAAAGGTTTCTCTAATTCACATGTGAGGCAATTTTCATGACATAATTTCCACAGAAGTAATAGAATTATGGTGTTTCTCATCTCATCATTTTCCTACTCTCCCTTTTCTAGCTCCATCACAATCAATTAATTCCAATTAGCTGTGAACTTATCCCTGCCCCATGAAAAAATGGCTGGGGGAGCAGGAGTAAGTGGTAGTGGAATAAGTGGTGCTTAGTTTTCGTTTTTTATCTACAATGATGAAAGATCGTTTTTTCAAAATTGGGGTTATTATATGTACAATTTAATATTTTAAGGATTTAAAATTAATCCACAGTTTATAATATATGCAGCTTTGTTCAATCAGTGTGTGCAGCAGTACACTAAGTGGGGGGTTTCTGTTGTATGAAACTTTGGCAAAGCCATTAGGTCAGTGCCCACGCGAAGCTGCGTACCTGGGTGCCGTCTCTGTTCAGCAGCAGCGCTTTTACATTATCCGTGTGCCCTTTAAGCTTCATCAGCTTTGCACATGTTCTTGGATCCCATACCCTTAAAACCTGTAAATTTTAACAAAACATTACATAAACTGAGTATATCCACGATCACATTTCAATAACAGATGACTCTTATAAATCAAATGACAGCCACTAAATTCTAAGAAACATTGCTTCTGCCAACGGACACCGTCTAAGGCTCCCTTCTCAAGTGGGAGGAAGCCTCTTTAATGTCAAAAAATGAACAGGCCTTTCCAACCCCGTCCACCCACCCCCATTACCACACACGACAGTAATTACAGTTATGCTCTTATTTGTTCAAATAAAACTTTTCTTTTAGCATTCCACCAGGCAAAACCACTGTCTATATGGCTAGTAATGACACAGATCAAATTATTTTGGTTTCTTTGTTTTCTAGAGTTAAAAGTACATCCTTTAAGCTCCCCCTTACCTTTTCAGTGGACCCTGATACAATGATTGTTCCCAGTTGATTCATTGCCAGGCTATAAATGGAATCTTTGTTCCCACTTAAAGAAGAAGCTATTAAGGATAAATGGAGCTACATGTTAACAAAATTACCAGATGTGTAGTAGCTAGTCAGCAAAAATTGCAGGCTTAATTATTCAATTTTGAAAATCTTATCTTTATGAGTGCTCTAAAGAAATCTATAACAGAGATATCAAGTTTTACATCTTTTCTGGATTTGAGGATACACAAATGCTCAATAAATATTTGCTAAATTGAACTGCACTGCCATTTAAAACCTATCCACATAAGTAATATATTTTCAAAGATATACATGTACCACTGAGATATATGAAAAATATGTCCAAACTCACTATTTCAAATAAACAAAAATACTATTTTCACCAAACAGATTAAAAAGAAAACAAGGTAATATTCAATTATCAGAAAACACAGTAAAACGGCACTCTCACACATTGCTTGTGGGAGGACAATTTGGTATAACTCTTTTGGAAGGAAACCAGGCAACATGTAGCAAGAATCATGTTCAGGCCCTTTGATTCAGAACAAAATATCACTGAAGTGAAAAAAAAAGCATATAAAACTATATAGTATGATGCTAATTTTACAATAAAGAATAATATATGTAAAGTATTTAGAAAAGTAACTGCTTGTAGGAGTGCTCAATAAATGTTAGCTATTAGTATTATTTCTGTAATCACAAAAAACTTATGAGGTCCTCTCTAAACTATTCTAAGCCAAGACATATCTGTTGTAGAATCTGTAACCACTAAGCCTAGTCTCTGACCTTGAGACCACCCTGCTGTTCTGCTTTGTTCCGTTTTGTTAGTGTCTCTTTGAGGCAGGACTTCCATCTACAAAGAGCTGAATGGATCATGATAGTAGCCTCAGCAGGGACCAGCTACTGAAGCACTGAGATAGTGTACAGGTGGAAAATCAAGAACAAGGGAAGAATAGTGTTTAGACCTTCACATATCTCCCAGGGGGGAAAAGCAAAACAGTATTAAAAAAATCATAAACACCAGCCTCCCAACTTGCCCCTCTTGGCTCATACTAGGTTTTATTAGAACTGCCCTGGCTACGTCAGTGTGAGTGTTCCACAGTCATGACAAACTGAATCTATAACACAGGGATCTAGATAGTTCAAGCCCACGTCCTGAACACAGACCTTCCAGGCCAGGCTTAGCCAAAAAATGTGCTCCTTAGAGTCCCGTCTGACACCTGGCCTGCAGGACTCTCGTAGGCTGGGCCAAGCATGAGGCTGAGTTTCAAGTTTAGACTTGGATGGGTCTGACCTGGTCATCCGAGATCTCTTAGTTGAAGAGGTATCCATGCTATTAACCTGCTGTGAACATTCTGAATCGCCTCTCGCAGCACCCTAGCCTCCCTGAACTCCTCTAGAATTGGCTGGACTCTTTGGGCTGCTCTAAAAAGGTCCTGCAAAATTCACACTCAAAACCTTTTCTTTCTTTGCTTTGGGTATTTTCCATCGGGGCCATTAACTCAAAGGTTCTTAATATACAGTAATACTTTGGAAAGTCAGAAACTGCCTACTCTGTCAGGTGGTTACCACCTCCATCAACAGTATCTGCTGAGGGTGTGGCTTTGGGCAGGCGATGCTGTGGGAGATACAAAGTAGTAGTAAGACAGACTCTGCTGCCTGCAGGCCTCAGGCTTCAGCTAGGGATCTAAGGGATGCACATGACAGCTGGCACCTGGAGACGTTACCACTTTAGACACAGCGAGGAACTAGAGACGTTACCACTTAGACGCAGCGAGGAACTAGCTCCTTGTCCAAGCACACTCTCTAGGTATGAACCACTGTCTCAATACAAACTTATCAAAAATAGTTTAGGAACCATTCTTTGTTTATGTCAACTTGGAGCACTTTCAAAGACATTTTTTTCAAACTCCTTACTTGTGACAGTGTTATTTGAGGCAGTCAGTGCTGTTAGAGTATTCACATCCCAAAGGAATATTTGTCTGTCCAACCCAGCCGATGCTACCAGTTCTTTATCCTTGGCATATGCTAAGGCCTTTACATAATCCTGTAACAGAACACACGTACTATGATCTACATTGTAGATCCATAAGAAAATGAGCCACTTAAAGTACTGAGACCCCAATATTACACTAAACACACTGAAAATTGAAATATTATGTTAGCTCTTTTACCTTATGTGTCCTTAATGTTGACATACAAAATCCCTTATGTGCATTCCATACTTTTACTGTCGTGTCAGAAGAAGCAGATATTACTAGAAGAGGCAAAGAATTAAGAAACACCTTAGTGGTATATACTTCAATATTTATAATATTCCTAATATTAATTCAAACGTCTGTTCATGTTTATACATACATATAGTACATATATAATCTAAAAGCTTTTTCTCGCCCTAGCTGGTTTAGCTCAGTGGATAGAGCGTCGGCCTGCAGACTGAAGGGTCCCAGGTTCGATTCCGGTCAAGGGCACATGCCAGGGTTGTGGGCTCATTCCCAGTGTGGGGCATTCTTTCTCATCATTGATGTTTCTGTCTCTCCCTCCCTCTCCCTTCCTCTCTGAAATCAATAAAAATTTAAAAAATATTTATTTAAAAGCTTTTTCTAGAACCTATTGCATTCTGCCTCAAAATTTTATTTTTTTAATAGCTAAGGCAAATATTTTTTAAAGTTCCAGTTGAACTAATTTGATTGGGAAAATTTCTTTAACACAGACTGAAAAACCAAGAAATGGATCCTACCATAATAAGAACAGAAAGAGATATTAATAAGGTTAAAAGAAGAATACAAAGTATATGAGTCTATTTATATAGACAGTTCAAATGTAGGCAAAACTAATCTATAGTGTTTAGAAGACAGTGGGGCAAGGGATAGTGACTGAAAGGGTGGCACGGGCAGGACACTTTGGTCATCTGTTTCTCATGTGGGTGTTCACCTTGCAAGCTTGTACTCTCAAGTGTGCATGCTTTTCTGTATGCATGCTGTATTTTAATAAAAAGCCTACATGAAAAATGAAAAAAAAATACATCAAATTAAATTAGAAGCTTCCTGAAGCCCAATACTCAAAGAAATACTCACATGTTTTCCCATTACAACAGAGTACAATGTCGTTTACCCAATCGGTATGGTGCTCCATAGATGCTATGTATGGGTCTTGCTGAAATTAAAAGAAAAACCACAGGATATCATAGCTTATCTTGGAGAATGAACTGCATTACAAATTATAGGTATGTTTAGATTCTTCAGTGTGACCCACTGCTCTATGACCTGAAAATCTAGCCCCCAGGAGTTGATGCTTCCAGACACCATGTGCATAGAAGTTTTGTTTCAGGACAGTTTTATTACTGATAAAAGCCTAGGTTTCCAGGACAAATGCTTAATTTTTATGCCTTGAGTCAGTGAAGGCAACAGCGCTACAGGAAGGCGTTACTGCAAAGGACAGGGCATGAACCCACCTGCAGGCTGGGGGGTATGAATCAGTGGTGCTGAAGGCTCACAGCACACAGCAGGGGCAGAAACGAGGCGGCCGAGTGGTGAGGAGCCCAGCCTGCTGCAGAGGGAGATGGACACTCCTGCTTTTAGCTTCCTACTGTGGTTTTTACCTTCTGAATTAAATGTTTTCCTCATGTTATCTACGGTCCTTCCGAGAAGAAATGGAAGCCAAGGGCTAAAGGAGTGCTACCCTGGTCACCATTTCAATTCAGTAATTTGAGATTCTTCTATTCCTCTCACTTGGCTTAATTACCAAGCCAAGTATTTAGTTACATCCTACACCTAAGACAGGCAAGTTCAAGAAACTTCCTGGCAAAGAGAACAAGTCTATTTGAGAAACGCTATTCAATCCTGTCATAAAACGAAGATCAGAAAAAAAGATGTTTTAAGGGCAGCATAGGCAGCTTTCTAGATTCTTCCAGGTTAGTTTTTGTGAATGTTTTCCTGTAATTTGTTTGAAATACAGTACTGTTAATTCCCAGAAAGGTGACATTCCAATTCAAACATAAGTTTCAAAAAGCACTTAAAAGCCACGATTTTCTTCCTCCCCATGTTTCTGACATTGGGCCACCTCTATGGCCACTGTTTAAAGAATCCAAAGCCCACGAGACCAAAATCCATGTAAAGAAACATCATCTAGCAAGTGTGCAAAATAGTGGGTCTTTTTTGGACTGAACATCAGACTTGCAGAGCTTGCTAGGAAGACACAGACTTTAAAACAACAAGGATTAGCGCCAGGGCTTCAAGTCAGAGGGGCTCTAATTCCCTGCCACCTACTAGCTATTTAACCATGGATTTCTGTGAGCCTGTTTTCCCGTCTCTGAACACGAACCGTAACAGCTGCCTCGAAGGAGGACTGTGAGAATTAAGACCATCTTGGATATGAAAGTGCTAAGAGTGTCTGGTACATAGCTAGGAGCTCAAGAAATGTCCTTTTCCTTCCCCGAATCTGCCTATGTCATTCACAATACAGACATTAAACAAAACAGAAAAAGAATTCCTTGCAATTTGACGGGATTTGTCTTCACATGTGTTTACATACTGGCCCGTTTAAGAAAGCAGGCTTTAAATCTGAAGAAGGGCAGCAGGTTGCCTTCATACTTTTACGACAACCTTGAAGAAATCTAATATTTGTTCAAGATTAGTTATAATTGTAAAAGCATAGTCAATCTTTTCTTAATAGCAGTGAAAAGGGTGGCCAAGAAGCTTTTTGGGAACATAGTTACAGCAGAAAAATAAATTGTTGCAAGTAATTCCCCCACCAGACAAATCTCTTTTGTCTTTCTTATCAGAGGCCTAGTTTTATGGAGTCCCTGCCTTAGCTGAAATACTTCGGAAACTCCCCTAGGGGTGTTTTTCTCAAGGGCTCATAGAAAGCTGGCTGCATGTCTTTATAGAGTGTACCAAATAACTCAGTGCTCAGAGATTCCATCGGAAACTCCGAAAGCCCTGCCATACTAGAGCAAAATTTTTGGAGTATGAATTTCAAGTGTCCACTTGACCCTTGCCTTACCTTGTGCTGATTGACGCTCCATATCCTTATGATGGAGTCTCGACCTGCTGTGAAAAGCCTGTTGAGGGCTGGGTCCAGCTGCAGGGCATTGACTCCATTCCGATTGTACTTCTCCACTTCATCTCGAATCACATAGGAAACCTGACAAATGAGTGGACATTTGCTTTTTACCAAGTGACAGAACATGCAGTAAAAGGCAGCCTACTGGCGGCAGATCTGAAATTCAAAATCCCATGTTTTCCATATAAAACTTATTTTTCAATCCAATAAAAATTTCATTTTACTCTATAAAAGAGTGAAGAGCTGAGGAGAGAAGAATGACATTAATAGCAGCCTAGTCCAAGAGGAGGCGGTCTGATGCTGAGCTACTATAACCGCTTCCTCACTGGCCTCCCACACTCTGTGGTTTGTCTTTAATCCATTAACCACAAAGCAGCAAAACTGGAGTGTGTCTCACCTCTGCTCAGAACCCTCTCCAGCGCCTGCTCTCCCAGACTCACGATTTGACCAGGGCTCCTCCACACGTGCAAGTTCCCTGCTCACCTCTCCTGCCACTCATCTTTGCTCACTCTGCCCCCATTGCTTGAACACATCTCCTTGCACACAGAGCGTCCCATGTCCTGGTCCCTCAGTTTGGAAGGCCTTCCTCCCCTCTCTCTGGCCAATCCTGCTGCAGGCCTTAGGGTTCTGTTTAATGCTTCCTCAAAAAGGTGTTCTCCGACCTGGCAAGCAAATGAGTCTTGTGTTCCTTTAACACACTGAACTTCTTCTGAGCACTTCCCACTATTTTGTTACTGTAGGTCAGTTCTGTCTGCTTCATGTGAAACTCAAGAGAATCAACCAATTACAATTATGAAAAAGTCAACAAACTGGCCAGCAGCCAAAAGCAAAACTTTTCTAATTTAATGAAATAAACTGTTAAGAACAGAACAGGAGGTTCAGGGGGAGTGGGGAGATCTATTTACAATAGCAACAAGAACAAATACCTAATAACTGACAGAACAATGTACATAAAAGAAAAACTTGAATAAAGGAGGTGCCATATTATAGCACAGGAAGATTCCAAATTAACAACTGTTTCTAAATTTGTGAATTTAGGAAACCCAAATTTGGCCAGAACCCCATGGAATTGCTTTCTAGAAGTTGACAAAATATATAGTATAATGTGTTTTGTGTGCGTGTGTGTAATACCCAGTTATTTTAAAAAATGAAAGCATATTCTTTAAAGATCTTAAAAGGTTTATAAAGCTAAAGCTACCAAATTACATGAAGTACCACAATAGGATATATTTTAAAAAATCAATGG